AACTGTCAAAACCGTTGTGGGAGGTAGATATGGCAGAATATGTTTCTGTTGCTGCCGAAATTTTGAACATACCCGAAGACGACGATAATTCTGATTCTGAAGATATCAAGTCGGTAAGGAATAGTTTTTGGGGTATGCCCGACCCACCACCTTGTCCGGACCCAGTTATCAAAAGTAGAAAGGAAAACATTTCCTACCAGCCTACATCTCATGTCAAAGTTCTACAAACCTTTGACTCGAAGGAAGCACTTAAGCTCGCAGTGGGATTAAAGTGCGTTCATAAAAACTTTCAGATGAAAGTAAAGAAATCTTCCAAACACCGGTACGAGGTGGTGTGTCACTCAGATTCGGACTGTTCTTGGCGTTTGATGGCTGTTTCCATTGATGGTACCAGTATTTTTCAGGTACGCAAGCTCCATGATGAACACACATGTTCAAGGTCCCAAGTGCACCCAAACCACCGTAATGCGAATAAAAAGGTTTTGGGTCATATACTGGCAGACAGTCTAAAGGATTGTAGGAGAGTGTACGGTGGTAAAGAAATCATGGAATATGTGAACCAACGGTTCAATATTAGCATCTCCTACCACCAAGCATGGCGAGCAAAGATGTATGCCATGCAACTGTTGAGGGGGACCCCGGAATCGTCGTTTAACCTACTCCCGGTTTATTGTCACAATCTAAAGCTAGCAAATCCTGGGATTGTGACAGAGATCGCTCTTGATCCAGTAGGACGATTCGACATGTTGTTTGTCGCACTCGGTTGTTCGGTAATAATTTTGTCAAATTTTATAATTATTGTCATAATTTTATGTTCTGAAATTACATTTTTAATCTCGTTCATCTGCAGATGCGATCGTTTCTAGGACACATGAGACCGCTTCTTATAATGGACGATGCCCATCTGAAGGGGCCGTATGTTGGCACCATGTTCTTAGCGGTCGGCATGGATGGAAACAATGGTATCGTACCCATTGCAATGGGAGTGGGGAAGACAAAAAGTGGCACGTCATGGACATGGTTTTTATGTAAGCTTAGGCAGTGTATCGGTGATGTGCCCAATTTAACCTTCGTCACCGATAGGGTTGCCTCTATCGACCTGGCCATATGAACTGTATTTCCTTCAGCGTACCACGGACTTTGTTGTCAGCATCTGAGCCAAAACCTCCGCCTAAACTCTACTAAAGAGAAAAGAAAATGGTGGATTTTCTGGGAGGCATGCAAGGCTTACCGGTTGTCGGACTTTGAAGCTACTATGGATTTGATGCGACACAGTCTACCTAGAGCCGCTCAATATCTTGAGGAAGTTGGCTACGCTAGATGGGCACGATCGCACTTCCCTGGATTGCGTTACAGTGCAATGACGTCAAATAGTGCTGAGTCCRTCAACTCAGTAACGCGGTTTGCATGCTATCTTCCGATAACAATGTTAGTTGAATTTTATCGGGCGACATTACAACAATGGTATTTCATACGTCGGCATAACGGAGGTAAATTCAACCAGCCTTTGACTATATGTTTGATTATTTAACATATGCTAATGATATCAAATATCTGCAGCGCAAATGATGAATGTCGTGACTCCTTGGGCGGAGGCCAAATTAGAGAAGAGAATACATAGGAGCGCAAATTGGAAGGTATATCCCATTAGCGATTTGTTGTTTGAAGTTGACGACCGCTAT